TATCTAGAATTCTTTTTTCCAAACACATTAAAGGCTTTCCATTATAGGAGCTGTCAGGGAGAAAGTAACATATAACATCAGCATGCCATAAAAAAGAGAAAGAATTTTTTTTTGTGATACTCTGATTCCCAAATACTTTTCAAAGATTTGTGAAAGGCCTTGAGTGTAACATAAGATATAGCAGAAGAATTATTTCTGACTACAGGCTTTTCTTGCTTTTTAATAGGATTTAAATTGGATCACTGACCTAAAATATTCATTTTGAAAATTATTTCATAAAAAAATAAGAAGATTTAATAGTTGATGCTTTTAACTATGGTCTTTAGAGACAGCCAAGTGATATTAAAGCTTGTTCTTCATTGTCTTTTTGTTCTAAATAATCCCTATCAGGATGATTACTGCTAACATTTGAATTAACCATAGAAGCAATTAATTCTATTCATATTAGAATGAATTAAATCTATAAGAACTCTTCATTCTAAAATTTTACATGACAATTATATGATGTCTCCTTCACTAAGAAAAGTATTTTTGGCTGTGGCTTTAAGTGTATTTTTTAAATGAGCTACATTCACAATTAACTTTTCATCTATCTTATTTGTCTTGGGGAGATTTAATTCTTGATATGTACTAACTTGGGGCAGTAAAATATGTCTCAGGATTTATCATTTCTTTAGAACAAATGGCAAATATAGCAATCTCAAGATTTCTGGTCTAGGTTTAGGGGTAACAAAGATATGAGAACTAAGAAGAAAATAGAATTTCCCCTTCTAAATAATCTTCCTTTCATGGTGCCAAACAGTTGAGGGATAGAACATATTACCCTAAGCCTTTACCTGACACATGATTAGGATGAGATTTCAATAAGTCATTACTGAGGACTTAGTGCCACACTGGTACTGTGAGTAACAGAAATAGAGATTGAGAGTGAACTAAGAAATAGATCTTTCAAAAGAGGAAAAATGTGTAATTAAAAAACAGAAGTCAACAGTGAGAAAGACTGAAGAGTTATGGCCGACTCTATAATTAGAGACTTACATTTCCATAGAAAGTAGTGATCAGCACATATAGTGAACCTGAGAAGGTTCTACGTGAACCTGAGAAGGCCACATTCGGTCATATTTAGATTCTGGGTATGTCCTGTAGGTCCAGTTCCAATGTGTGTCTACTACTGGGCTTACTACTAGAAAAACCAACACTTTTAGCTTGAAGGTCAGTAACACAGAAAATGGAAATTTCCTTATATATCAGTTTATCCAACTTTCAATCTCTTTTGATTTACTGACCATAAGCCAAATAAATAAGAATCACATATTAGAGAATGGTTGCAATTTAGATTCATGCATAGAATTTTAAGGTCTTGTGGCAATACACAGAGTTGAGTCACAAGCCAAACCCTATATTCTGAGGATGTGATTAATGTGCCACTTATACAAACAAAATCATAATCAACCAACAGATTAAGTACCACTATATGCACAGCTTCATATATAATAACAAACAGAAGCCACAGTTCCTTAAGGACAGTATGAATTTGATATTAAGAACAGAAGTAATTAGTGTCATACAACTAATCATAGCAGGAGTTAAGAGAAGGGCAAGGTCAGGTTGAGTTTAAGATTCCTTGTAGTCTTTTCCCATTAGCCCATAAATGTGGACTGCCTTATCAGGTCAGACATTTACCAAAGTAAGTTTTCCAATCATTATTCTGTGTGTGTGTGTGTGTGTGTGTGTGTGTGTGTGTGTGTGTGTAAAAGGTCAGATTTGGTGAAGAATGGTACAGGGTCATTTGAGTTGATTATTAACAGTCACTAGAAAGTCAATCAACAGTATTTAGTGTGTACTTACTTTGTGTGAGATACTGAGCTTGCTATTTTAACAGTCATCTTTATGCTCTACATTGACCATGTAGAAATCTGCTTCAGTCACGAATATCCTTAAGTTGCCATCAAACTGGAATAGAGATATTGTTAAAAACTTATGGATGACTTTTTCTTGCCATTGAGATTTTTATTTTGTACTTAATGAAAGAGGTCTTTCAGACTTGGATTTTTGTCATATGTCACTCTTATGCATACAAAAAAAAGAGAATATAAGTAAACGAAATTGGTTAGGATATTTCTAAGGTAAAAACAACTACATCACAATTGTCACTGACTTTCAGCAATTGTCAGACTATCCTGATTTCAAAGATGTTAAAATGTGAAAAGAAAAGGATAAACAACAACAAATAACATGCACCCATGTATACACTACCTTGCTTAAGCTATAGGACAGTTCCCAACATCATTAAAGCCCCCTATATACACTTCCCTTGTCACACTTTCCTCCTTCCCACATAAGATAACTACTACCCTGAATTTTTTATTCAGCATCCCCTTGTTTTTCTCTACAGTTTTATCTAATATATACCCAAAGCATATATATATTGTTGAGTCATATTTTTCAACATAGCTTGGCTCTGAGGAGTCCTACCAAGATCTGTTTAGGCCAGCATTGTTATCCCAGCCTATTTGACCATGGGAAATGTGCTCAACGTAGCATCTATTAATTTCTGAGGAAATACTGTTCTGAGGAATTCACCTGGGAAACATTGGCATGTCAAATGTAGAAGGAATTGCTGAGAGGAAAGGGTGGATGGGCAGATTGAGGCCAGATTGTAGAAGGGCCTAAATGGCACAGGAGGGATTTGGATTTTGTCCTGATGGTGTCAGAACCATCTGGTCTGTTTTAAAGGACATGGTATGATCTGACCTGTGCTTCAGGAGAGTTTCTCTGGAACCAGGAAGATGGATTAATGTGGAATGAGACTGGAGGTGGGAAAACTAATTAGAAGACAAATAGCAGTCGTCCAGTGAAAGGTGATTAGGGTATGAGCTAGGCCAGAGGCAGCAGTTAGAAAAGATATAAATGGGTAGAGGGGGGACAGCTGAAGTTACCAAAGTTGGTAAAGGTCAGGGGTGAGGAGATGAATGCTTAAGAGACAATTGAGAGGACTTGAGCTTAGGTGACAAAAAAAGTAAGTGGTACCTTAAGAAAAACAGAAAAGGAAAGTCAGGAAGAAAACCTTCTAAATTTTTTAGAAAAAAAATATTGCTTATTTTGGACATAGAATAAGATACAACCATCCAATCATTCAATAATTTTAAGTGTCAAGCATCATGGCTGACTAAGAGGTCCCTTGTTTGTACGTCCTTCAACAATAACAATTTGGTATCTACTCACAGACAAAAGTGTCTATATGGGAGCTGTGGAATCCAGCACCATATGCCAGGGCACCCGGGAGGAATCTCATCCATTCATGCATCAGATAATAGGGATATAGACTCACTCCTGGTTGTGGACATTGCAATGGCCCATGAACCAGCTCCAGCCCCTCTCGGCTACGGTCCAGAGGCCCTGGACAACACAGTTCAACAAGAGACCTTCTGTGGAAGTCTAGATTTCCAGCAGAGAAATTCCAGCACACCGCTGGAGCAAAACTATAGGTGTTTGGACATGATGGAGACAGCAGTTAGTAAAGAATGAAGAAGGTGACTACTACTTAAAATGTGAAGACAGCAGGGCACCTGGGCGGCTCGGTTGGTTGGGCATCCGACTTTGGCTCGGGTCATGATCTCACAGCTTGTGGGTTCGGGCCCCGTATCGGGCTCTGTGTTGACAGCTGAGAGCCTGGAGCCTGCTTCGGATTCTGTGTCTCCCCCTCTCTGCCCCTTCCCCAGCTCACATACACTCTCTCTGTCAAAAATGAATAAACATTTTTTTTTTTAAATGTGAAGACAGCAATGTAAGACTTCAAGGAATATGGTGGTGATGGTTACAAAACAATATGAAAGTACTTAATACCACTGAATTGTACACTTACAAATAGTTAATATAGCAAATTTTAGATGTGTTTCACCTCAATTTAAAAAATTGGAGAAAATTAAATGTATGCCTGTTTCCTCCCCACCTTATTTTCCTTTCCTCCCTCCCTCCCTTCTTTCCTTCCTTGTGGGAACCAAGCAAAAAGAAAACCAAGTCTGGGATCTTTCTAAGCACAGGACCCTATGTAACTGCACAGGTGATACAGTCATGAACCAGCCTTGCCAGAGTATCTCCTCATAAAATATTTTATTAATTAGAGGAAAGGAAAAAAGCAAATTTACTTTGGAGAAACTAGGCAGCAGACATCATCTTAACCACATAATTAAAGTTAATACCACAGGTAATATGATAAGTTGACATTGTGTGCCACCAGATAGGACATAATAAGAAGAACACAGGGCCACTTCTGTGGTATTTCAGTCAAAGATGAAAAACCTGAGTCTAATCATGAGGAAACATTGAACAAACCTAAACTGAAGGAAGCCTATAAAATGGTGTATATTTAAAAAGACAAGGCCATGACAGTGAAAGAAAATTGAAGAACTGCTCCAGTTTGAAAGAGACTCAGGAGACATGACATAGGTGCAACATGTGATCCTACACTGGGCTGCCTTACCATGAAGGATGTTATTGAGATGACAGATGAAACTTGGTTGAGCTCTTGGGCAAAGAGAATGTGGGAGTTATTTTGTACTATTCTTTCAGTATAACTTTTTTAGAAGTTAGAATTATTTCAAAAGAAAAAGAAAAAAAATGGAAATTCACCATGACAAAATTAAGTAAATAAATAAATACTCCTTAAAAAAAAAAAACTTTTATTTATTTATTTTAAAGTTTATTTAAGTAATCTCTGTACTCAGTGTGGGGCTTGAACTTATGACCCCGAGATCAAGAGTCACAAGCTCCACAGATTGAGACCCAGGCATCCCCCAAAATAAATATTCCTGTGTGAGTTTGGGTTTCCCAAAAAACAGAACCAGTGCCAGTATCCTGGGTACAGTATTTATCTGGGAGGTGATACCAGGATGGCTATTATGAAAAAGACAAAAGATAACAGAATTTTCTTCATGGAAAGAAGGAATTCTTGTGTAGTGCAGCCACTATGGAAAACAGTATGGAGGTTCCTTAAATAATTAAAAATAGAATTAACATATTATATAGCAATCTCACTTCTGGGTACATATTCAAAGGAAATGAAACCAGCATCTTGAAATGATATCTGCATTCCCCTGTTCATTGCAACATTATTCACAACAGCCCAGATATGGAAACTACTTCTGTGTCTATGTATGAACAGATAAAGAAAATGTGAGATATATACACAATGGAATATTATTCAGCCATGAGAAAGAAGGAAATTCTGTCATTTGCAACAACATGGATGGACCTTGAAAGCATTATGCTAAGTGTGGTAAGTCAGTCAGAGAAAGACAAATACTGTATCATATCACTTGTCTAAAAAACCCAAATGCATAGAAGCAGACTAGAATGTTGGTTACCAGGAAGTGGGGGCGGGGAAGAACAGAGAGGTGTTGGTCAAAGGATACAAACTTCTATTTATAAGATGAATAAGTTCTGGGGATGTAATATATACCATGGTGCTTACAGTTAACACTACTATAGTATATACTTGAAAGTTACTAAGAGAACAGATCTTAAATGTTCTCAATACAAAAAAGAAGTGGTAGTTATATAGGTAATGGAAGGGCTAACTAATGCTACTGTGGTGACCATTTTGCAACATATAAGTGTTATACAACATGTTGCACACTTTAAATTTACTCAATGTTATATACCAAGCAATGCACTACATGCTGAGTACACAATTATGAAAAAGACAAAGGTCTTGTCAAGACAAAGGTCTTGAATATGAGGTAAAATTTACCACAATGATTTTAGAATGTTCAAGTTCAAATAATATTTCATAAATAAGTATCTTTAACAAGGTGAAAATGAGACTGATATTTTAAAAAATAGTCTTGCTTGGGGCACCTGGGTGGCTCAGTCGGTTAAGCATCCGACTTCGGCTCAGGTCATGATCTTGCGGCTTGTGAGTTCAAGCCCCACGTCAGGCTCTGTGCTGACAGAAATTTATAAAATATATTAAATTAAAAAAAATTTTAAGTAAAAAAAGTAATCTTGTATGCATACACCCCCACAAATGTGAAATCAGTGAAGAAAAAGACAGATAAGTGTAATAAACGTGGATATCCACAAGATAAAACAGAAGTAAATATCTGTTTCTTTGCTTAATTGGAAGAGCGGTGCATAACTGGAAGATGAAATGAGATACTGAGTTTCTATTTTGGGGAGAAAACCAATGAGTTATCACCAAGAAATGACAGCACAGGGACCTAACAAGGAAACTTAGGACACCAAACCACTCCCCACATCACAAAGGTAATGAATCCCCGAACAGGGCCCCAGGCAAAATGGGACTACCCTCCCTGGAGGTCAAAGCTGGGAGACCAAGAACAAAATGTAAATCTTTTCTTGTGTTTGCATAAATATGCAAATCCAATCAGGAGTGTTTAAGAACTTCTAGGGTACATACTGGAGATGTCCTGGAGCCAGCATGCACCAGCTCAGGAGGGCCTATTGCTAAATTTTCAGGAATTTTGCAATCCAGTTTTTAAAAATACACATTACTAAACAATAAATTATATATACTTACAACTAAGTTTCATTTTTAAAAAAGGGCAATTAATACTTAAAATTTATTACTCACCAATTATATTATAAACTGTACTATTATCCTGTGCTCTTGAGGTTTTTTGAGGTTTTTACATCTACTCTTACCTGTATGGTAGAAATATGATGACATATGACTGCATGTCTCTGCCCAACGCCATGCTTGGCCACATCACGTTGGTAAGTTGGAATTGGTCAAGGTAGGAGTACTTAAAACATAGAAATTAGCAAATGCTACAAATCAGGCTTGGTTCCTTGTTTTGCTGGCGGTCTAGACTTCCGTAAGTAATGAAGTACCTTAGGCTGAAGAAGTCAAGCAGCTAGCCCAAAGTGACACCACTAGTAAGGGCCAAGTTTTGGTGCTGGGCATTCTGGCTCCACAGTCATGGAACTTAGCCAGATTTTACCATGATAGAATCACACCGGCTTGAGATAGGGTCAGCCTTATGTTTGAGCAAGCAAGGAGGCTAATTCTAATAGGACCTGAGAATCTCATCATGCTCTACAAGCCTCTAAACATTGCCCTGTGTTTCTTCAATCACATTCACCCTGTCTCCTACCTATCTGTTCACCATTCTTTACCTGGCCTGACACTCCCTCCATCAGTGTTACTCTGTGTAACTACTGTTGTCTTACATTTGAAAAGTATGACATTTTATAAATGTACTCATGGCAAGGTAGGGGTCAGGGTCTGGGGTGTGGGTGGACATTTCTCTGCTAGGGAAGAAGTCTCCTCAGTGCTCTTCTCACTAAGCAGCTTCAAATAATCCATGAATTATTTGCTTTTTTAAAAGTTGCAAAGACTGACTCTAAAGTTTTAAACTGTAAGGAAATACATTCATGAAAGTAGAGGTTGCTGGGGGTGGAAGAGGGGCACAAAGGCACTAACTCAGGGCCATAGGTCTAAGGTGGTTGCCTTAAGTGAGGCAGGCCCCTTTGAAGGAGTCACTGATGGAACTACTGAAGAAAAATGGACAGGAAAGGAAATAGGGAAATAGGAATAATGTGGGCCAACATTCAATTTTGCAAACCTTATAGTTTTAATTGGGGTAGAAAGATTATAAGATGCCTCTAGGTTGAGACAGCCTTTCTTTAACTCTTAAGGCCCTATGGTTTCAGATGGGTAGAACCTTCATGCTAGCATGAGGAGGGTCCATATTCCTTAATTCTGACTTCTAGAGTCCTGGTTTTTATATTCTCTTTGACCATTTTTTTTTAACTTTCCCTAATTTTTGTCTTAGATCTAATTAACCTACCTATTTCTCTGCCAACAAGGCAATCTTCTCCAAGGGCCAGCAAATTGCTATATTTAAGATGCCTCAACTATTTGTAAATGTTCAGTCAATACTATTTTGTCAATTACTATCTTGATGGCATCATCAGATTTTTTTTAAATTCATTTGAATTGCTTGCATAATCATTTGACCAAAATGTTTTGATTGTTTTATACCAGGTAGGCATATTCAAATAATGTTATTGAATTATCTCTTATTTGTTTTTTCCTTTTTTTTTCCAGATTGAATTGTCCTGATATCTTTAACTTCTATGCCAAGAAAGTATTTTCTGGTGTCTTTTGTTCCTTGCATTCTTGTGAACCTTCTCACAATATTCATATCCTTCATGGTTGGGATATAGAACTTTAGCCAAGTCTATACGATGCAAAAATTCCAACATAATACAAAGGCCAAAAATTCATATATTTCCAAATACATGTACTCTGGGTATGTGTGTATGCACATGTGTATATATAAGTGTTTATATGAATATATTTGACATTGCAGAAAAAGAGCATCTGGCATTTTCATCCAGATGTTTGACATTATGTAGTTACTATAATCCAGCCAGCTGTGTGCTTCAGGTCACTTTTTTTTTTTCTTTTTTGTTCATTGATGGGTGTAACATGCAGATAATCAAAAGATTTGTTGCAATCACAACAGAGAAAATCTATCATTCCTCCTTGATCTACCATATTAGATTAGCTTAAAAGGATTTGGTTTTAAGTAGAACACATTAGTCATTATCCACTAAGTACCTTCTTGTCTTCAAGTTATTTGCAAATTGATTATATCAGGGTTTCTGCCAGTATTTTCTTAAGTATCCAAGTGAAGGTTACTTGTCTGTTCTGCTTGTTATATGACTCGTGACTTCATTTAGTCTTCTACTGGTGACAAATTTCCCTGTTAACACTTCAAGATAAAACCTTTAGGGAACCTGACATATGAATAAAAAGAATGCATTAAAACCAAGGTTGGTGGAGTTGTTTCTATTATTAGAGTTCCTACATATGAAATTCTGCCAGTATTTCAAATGCATACTGAATGCTGAAAATTACCATTGCCATTCTTGGTCGTGTATTTAATATCAGACTTAGCAAGTAAGATTGTGAAAGATTCTTACTTTACAACTTTTTATAACCATGAAACATAGTGGACTCTTCAGTTTTTTTAAATGACCATGACCTAGAAGGACCAAAAAGTGGAAAATTATAATTTCTAGGGTTTTTTACTTTATGTATGAATTAAATTTACATATAACAGAGCCAATGTTATTTCATGAATTTTGTGATTGATATACAATAATATGCCATCCCCTAAGATATGTGTCTGCACTTAAAAATTAAGTTAACTTTACATATTGATATATCTAGAAGAAAGCATGATATAAAAAGAACAGGAATGAACTTAGGAGTCCCACAGACCTGGTTTGAATCTCAGCTGGCCCACCTACAAGCCGTGTGACCTTCAACAAATAACCTAGGTTCTTGAAATCTGTTTCATCAAGTCAGAGTGGTATTACCTATCTCATCAATTTGTAATGAGTTTAAAGGATATAACATATTTTATTTATAACATATGACACATAGTAACTGATAAATAAATATTAGAGTTCCAAAGATTCATAGGTTTTCTGAAAAGAGATTGGAACTATGATAGGAAAATCCACTAAACCATTTTGAACAATTTCTTGCTCATTTCATTAGCACAGGGGCAATGCAATGGCATCTGAATCACCATTATGTGGTTTCTGGGACATAGTCATGTCCAGTCTGATGAAGTCAGATTAACATTATATTATTGGTATTATCAGATTGGGCAGGACTACCCATATAGGATAGCTATACTACATACATGAGCTCCTAGATTATTTTAGACATGGATCGAACAGTATTCAGATCATGGGCACAAACAGAAAATTGGTATAGGCTCTAACCAGAAGACTGAACTCATAAATTAACATCATTCACTACATGCCAGTTCCATTTAGAGTAACACATTGCTAAGAATTACACTAGCAATCCCTCAAATGAAAACTAGGACTCTATCTACTTTGCCCAGCTTAAAAAGTGAGCCTCAACACTCTCCGGGACTTTTGTCAGGAAATTGTAGGGTTATTCCTGACCCTAAAACTGGCCATTATCACCATTATCATCTACATGTGAATAAATATATTAAGGCCCAGGAAGGCAAGGACCTTGAATATACTGATTACCAATATATCTCTAGCACTCAGAAAAAAAAAAAAAAAAAAAAGTAATACATACTAGTCTATCTAAAGGTATTTGTTGAATGAATAAATGGATTAATTTTAAATTAGGCAAATTCTTGAACAATCACCCAGCCTGTCACGTGATTGAGCTGTAAAGTTTTGCCACCTGAGGGTTAAAGAGTAGCCCAGCTTCCTGTTGGTTCAGTTCTTATGGCTTCTAAATGTTTCTCCCAATGTCTGTATGCAATCTCTTGCCTTATCAAGCAGTATAGTGAACACGACTGCATCTTTCAAAGATGTCATAGGGGCGCCTGGGTGGCGCAGTCGGTTAAGCGTCCGGCTTCAGCCAGGTCACAGTCTCGCGGTCCGTGAGTTCGAGCCCCGCGTCAGGCTCTGGGCTGATGGCTCAGAGCCTGGAGCCTGTTTCCGATTCTATGTCTCCCTCTCTCTGCCCCTCCCCTGTTCATGCTCTGTCTCTCTCTGTCCCAAAAATAAATAAAAAAACGTTGAAAAAAAAAATTAAAAAAAAAAAAGATGTCATAGATCATTGCAGCCTCAGGATTATCATATGCTAAATCCATTTTCATCTTTCAGCTGCAAGTAAACAGGTAGGAAGGGTAAGAGTTGGGAGGAAGAAAGTATGGTCCCGAAATATAAATTTCAAATTTTCACTAAAATAAATATCTACTATCAATAAATTTTTCATCGCCTATATCTCTTTTCTAAACCCCATATGGAGAAAAAAATAACAATTATTTCTAGATTTCTGTTATATGAGATCTGAATAAGTTTTACTATAATGAAAATTCTATTATCACTGAACAGGTGAGTAAAGTTTCTTTTGTTCCAGAAACCATTTGTGAGCACCTACTGTATATGCTGTATACGTGTGCTTGAGACACACTCATTGACATTTAACCTCAGATCAATGTATTATAAAAATAACTATCTCTATAACAAAATATAATTACAAGATGCTGTGTTAAACTATAAGTTATTACTCTGTATACAAGGACTTCTCAGAAAAGGCACTCTGTAAGATAAACTTGGAAGAATGAGTAAGAGTTCACCAAGACCAAGGTCACCAAGTTGTACGACTCCATGGAGCATCACCATCACTATATATAAATGGTGACCTCTGCATTTGTGTTCCTGGGAAACTCTTTTGTATGTCAGTCAGGATGCCTTCAGATGCAAGTATACAGAATATTACAGGAAGTGGCTTAATTAATAGAAGGTTTTATTTTCTCAAAATATAAAAGAAGTGGTCCTAACACCTTAGGTGCATGGTTATGTCAGTCAAGATCTTCCATGATTCTATTCTGTTGTGGTCAGCATGTTGGCTTCTGTCCTTGGGTTTATCATCACATGGTCACAAGATGGTTTCTAAAGTCGCAGAAAACTATCCGAATACAGAAAGAAAATGCAGCAGCTGAGAACACTGTCTTTGATTGTATCTTTTTTATTTTATTTTTTAAAGGGAAGAAACTAGTTCACAGATGTCACCCAGATGTTACCCTTATACCTCAAAGGCCAGAACTTACATATAACCAGTACTACCTACAAGAGAGATTGGGGAAGCAAGTAAATTTCTTTTTAACCACTATTGTGCAAACACTCTATATTAGGGGGAAAAAATAAAGAAAAGGAAAGCTCTTGCATAGGCAACCCACAGTGTCTCCAGGCAATTCTAAGGTGAAAAGAGATTAGGCTTTTGGTCTCCAGAACTAGACATTTTGACAAATATTAAAGATTTCTTGTCAGTGTCTATTAAAACTATACTTAGGTTTTCATAACTTCCGGTATTATTTTTTTCCTTTCTCAAGAGTAGTATGCTTCAGCTCAACAATAAACAAAATTCTCTGTTTATTCTACCAAAATTACAGTTAATTTCCATCTGCAGAGGAGAAAATTGGGGCAAAGAAGGGTTAAGCAACACAGTCAGCAAGTAATTAAATAATAAAGCCCAGAACTGGTCCCAGGTCTCCTGACTCTGAGACCAGCTTTCTTTTTTTTCTGTGATGTCTCAAATGTTTATATTTTCATATGTTATTTTCATATATTTTATGTTTATATTTTCAAGTATAATATTATAGTATGATAGTATTTAATTATATACAGTATGGTAAAGGTTCCTACTCTAACATAGGGTAATAGCTAATCACTGCCTGCTGCAGCCCAAGACAGACTAATCAGCTTCATAGGAATTATTCACTATAGGCTTAAAGGTAGCTCTATTCAACAAGGCACTCTCTGTTCCAGGAGCCCACCATGTTCCCAATACAACCTGAGAGAAATTAAAGAGTGGGCTCTCACTGTAAGAGTAGAAGAATTCAGGAAATGTCCTGGGTATAAGGGCAACCAAGCATAAGAAATGTGATTTGAAAAGCAAGAAGTCTACATTCCTTGGACTTCTTTCCCTCCTTTTGTCCTCTAGTTTATATCTGTCCATGGGAAGTAACAAAATTACCAGCAAATCAAAAGAACACATTGTACCGAGAAACAAGATGAACCTTGAGAAGCCCACAAGAAGCTAAGATGTGCTTCCCCCCAGGGGAAGAGACTGCATGGGCCATTTGAAAACTCGAGATGGACTGTACACTCAAGATCAATAGATTTAATACCTGATTGCACCAGCCATGGTCACCATGGTGAGCAAGGCTCCAGCTATAATAATAAGGTTCAGCTGAATGAATTGCAGGAAGAAATTCCTTATGAACAAAACAGGCTTGGCACCCTTATAAAGCTTGTATCCAGCATAGTTCTCAGTCAGGGACAATTCAGAAAATGGTGACTTTGAAGATAAAGCAGAAACCAGAGTAACTGGGTCATTTCATTCTAGGGTTTTCAAAAGGTGTTCTAAATAAGTCTAGGTTCTAAACAGTTCCCCGTATCTGTAGTTATAATTCTGGACTGTGGCTGAGTGTTTACTTGACCTCATTTTCCAACATAAAGAATTATCTATTAGACAAGTAAAAATAGAATTTCTCCAAAGCAAGCACACTTTGGTCAGGGCAGAACCCATTCAAGTGGAACCCTGTAGCACAGCATCTAAAGAACGGGAGAGGTCAATGACAGACTTTCTCTAAGATGTTATCCTGTATTTTTAAAAAGAGTGAGCCAAAAGAAGTAAAAGAATGTCATGTTTCTGAGTCATAGGTTTTTCAGTATACTTTGATCATGCAGATTATTGTGTAGTTGCTCAAAAAAACAGTTTCAGGATAGGCAGTTGAGCTTTTTGACTGAGACATATACACTCTGGAAATTCAAAGATTATACAAAGCCTACAGAATTGGTGGCAAGCCCCAGAAATAGAGCAAATGGTTGATGTGTTTTTTTTAAATAAACTTTCTATTTTTGAAATAACTGTAGCTTCTTCTGCAATT